AAAGATGTAAACAAGGTGTATTTCACAGCTGTGAATGCCTCAACCTTTAACACCCTGGAGTTTCTATAGAAGACTTGTAAGTACTAAAGCGAACAGCAGCCAGGGAAAGGTAATCCATAGAATTATAAATGGTGTGCAGAAAATAGATAATCGATAGTTCTTTAATACGCACATTTCAGCTGGACCCATTTCATCGCAAATACGTTCACCCTCCACGCTATCTATCATTGCCAATAAAAGACCAAAAAAAATCAAAAGGGTCCACACGACAATGACAGGGAGGTCAGCGTGGAGGTTAGGGACTTGATGTAATGTGCGTTAAACCATAACCAACACAACACAAACACACAGCATACACACACATGCTCACACCCCGAGGTGGTGTCTGATAATGGCTGACAGTTTTGGTAACAAACACAAGACTTTTCTTGTTGTTTTCGTATTTTGGTCCAAAACGAAGTCAGTCTGGTATTGCTCTATGATGCAGGCTCATTAAAAAGGTACCTCTAATCTGTGGAAAGTAATGGCCCATGATAAAATGGACAGTTTCAGAGACACAGTGACCTATAGTTTAAGACACACTGCAGAGTAAAATCCACTGCGGAGATTTTAGGCATTTCCTCTTGCTCGCTGAAAATTGTTCAAAATGCAGAGAGATCTAAAAATCTGTTATGTTATGTCATACTACCATACACCCTTAAGTTAAACTCAGCCCAAGCGTGCGCCTAAAAATAATCACAACTGTTTGCAACAACAGCAGCCAAATGAACCATAAAACTATTTCTTTTTGGACAAAGGGAATGTAAGAGATGCTGTTTATCTTCTTCAGTACTGGTGAGGCTCTTAATGCTCTTGCAGCTTAAAGGAGATATGACAACAATTATGGAGCGAAAGGCCCAGGTCTGAAACAGCTTTTCATTAAACATTTATTACAGACTCCTAACTCATATCTTACCATTATATGCTGCCACTGGTATGATGCATATATGTATACAGTCCATTTTTAATAACCCTGGCCTGTGTATAGCTCATATGGCACCAGCATGTGATATCTATACGTCTTCACCTGCGAGCAAGAAAGAAAAAAATTCCATATCTTATCCATATCTGGGGCGCCCATGATCATTTATTTATTCATAGAACTGAATCCAAAGCGTGATTCGTTGTGGCAGTCTTTTTGCCTGCCAGAAGATTAGGAGGGACAATCTGGCCTCTGTGACGCCGCATTATTCCAGACAGTGAAATACTAGAGACAGCTGTGTCACTCCACTGTGGAGCAAACACAAAGGCCGTGCCTTGGGGCAGTACAGACTGAGTATGGTTATTACTGTCAGACAGCCACCCAGCCCTGCGGAGCTCCACAGGTGGCCATGCATGTGAGATGAAAAAAGACATGAGAAACAAACTAATAATAATGTGGGATGTGACATATTGAAACATATTGCTATTGTCATCAATATCACTCTTGGGAAAAATGGTGTTGTAGTGTGAAACTGTCTGACTGTCAAACTCAGGGATGTGCAGCAAAAGGTTTACCTGTCCTACATACATAAATGTCTTGATCTTTTAGGATCCAACGTTTCAGGGCTGAATGGGTGATTCTGCTTGTGTTTGTACTGCTGATGTCAAGCGGATGAAGCAAAGAACATCTTCTGTTATGGCAGTGAAGCAACCAAACCTGAAGTCAAGTCCAAGTCACTGAGGTGATGTCTGAGTTTCTGCCTCAGTAACCAACGTGAGTTTAAAGCTGCAATAATGATATTTTTATATGAGCAATTGATCAATTGACTATGTTACGTTTAAAGGGTCGTTCATATACAAACCCACAGATAACTATCATCGGACTCCACATCTTTCAACTCAATATTTTGGTTTTACGATCTGAAACGTTCTCACTGCTCTCATCAACCTTGATTCCAGCCGCAGAGGGCAGCTGTTTACAGTTAAAAGGCTCTCATAAACTGACTGCACACTACCTGCACAGCATCAAGCAGCTGCTGCATTTAGCAGCTAAAGAGTCTGATATTTCCCTCAGGGGGTGGTTCAGGCCAAAACTTACTAGACATTCATCAGGTGGCTATAAACACAACTCCCAACGAACCGTAATGTTGCTCCATGTCTGCTGGATGTAGTGACAAGTTTATGAGGTAATATCAATGTAGTCACAACAGAAATCAATTACTGCTTTTAAGGGAGATTGTGTAACTTGTACACTCATGGGTTTTGCTGTTACAAACCTACATCGTCTGCTATGACCAGTAGCTTATGGAGGCTTATGTTAGAAATCTTTAGACAGATATTGCTGTGTAACTAATATTTCTTAGTCACTTATCTATCTTCTCTGTCACAAAAAACCTAATAAAAATGTATTTTTTCAAAACAAACTCATAGACTTTTTGGAAATGAAGGGAATTTAATGGGCCATTATTAAAGTTACACAGTCTTGCTTTTTCCTTCTCACAGCTAATCGCTTTTTAATATTGACAGATGCTCATATCAAAATTTAGGGAGACGTTTAAACGGCTGCATAGCTAATCTTTAAGCTGATGTGTCAAGCTCAAGTCTGAGTTCAAGTCCTCATAATTCACATCCCAGTTTATTCAGAAGTCTTCGGTTTTTGACTCTGGTATGAAAACACTCGACATTTTATCAGTCAGATGTCCCCTGTTCCCAATGTTTTGAGGCCCCAGAGACGTCCCTTCATCAATTCAGAGCACACCAACACACCATCTTTCCAAATCTTTAATCTTTCCAAGCCTCCTCCTGCCTGCCACCCAGGTGCAGCCGAACCATCACTCAACAACTCAAATCATTGCCTCTGTCAGTTAACAAGTTCAGGAAGGAGTAGACAAATGTGGGGCCATCAGCACTGCCCAGATGCGAATTGTTTTTATCAACCTTTAGAATGTGAGCGCTTTGTTGTCCCTACAGGGTACCTTCTTGCCTGCCGGCCTGATATTTTAAATCCTGATCCAATCTGACGGCCGCAGCATTTAAACTCTCAGTAGACACATTTTTTTTTTTTTTTTTTACAACTTCCTCTGAGAGTTTTCCAGAGCTACAAGAGAAATGCGACACATGGAAAATACAAACTCTGAATACATTTGCGCCCCTAAAAACCTAGACGCCTCCAAAGTAATTACATTTGCAAAGATGAAAACTGCACGCATGCTTTTGTGATTACAGCCATCTGAACAGAAGGAAATTGAGGAGCGGTTAGTACATGAAATGACTGGGAAAAAAAGTAGAGAAGTGCTACCAGACATTACCAGTTTTGAAGGCCCCTGCTGCCATACGGAAATGCAGGTAGGGAACGACAGCCGTACAGTCTGTGTGTTGTCTTTTCACAGTGTGATCTGTTACAGTTCCCTTAATTAAGTAACATGATTTTACTTCTGCACACTCTGTTTCCAACTGTCATAATTTGTATTCACTCTGTCTAGCACACTATATAGCCTGAATGGACCAGAAGCACTGACATCAAATAAATCAAAGAGATAGTTGTTTCAGAGATAACCTCATAATCTACAAGAATGAACATCTGAATGAATTTTTCATTCATCTGCTGTCTTCAAACACATACAGAATAGAATTAAATACAGTTGCCAAGACTGACGCGGGAATGAACGATTTCAACCTGCCATTCCCAAATAGCATCAAAATAATGTGATAATGAGCATTCAATCTGCTTGTGGAAGACATCCTGCTGATACTTCCAGGATATCCAAGACTGTCGTGTAGAGATATCTACCCCAACAATGCTGTCTTGAATTTTAATATGTGTGTGTGTCTGTGTGTGTGTGTGTGTGTGTGTGTGTGTGTGTGATAACACAGTAAGCCAATAGGGATTTTCTGCTGTCTTCATCATCACTTGAAGTCAACCCTCAGGCCAAATGGGTGTGGAGCTCTCTCTCTCTCTGTCTGTGTGTGTGTGTGTGTGTGTGTGTGTGTGTGTGTGTGTGTGTGTGTGTGTGTGTGTGTGGGTGGGTGTGGGTGGGTGTGCATATGTGTGTGGGTGTGTATTCTGAGAAAGCAAGAGCTGTGTTATGGGTGGGATATGCATGCATGTATATACAGTATATGTGCATATTTCAGCACAGTATGCGTGAAATGTATCCATTTCTGTATGACTGCTTGTGTGTGTGTGTGTGTGTGTGTGTGTGTGTGTGTGTGTCTGTTAGCCTTGGCCCAGATGTGTTTTACATCTAAACAACATTTGCATTTAGAGCACTCTAATCTTCCACTGTTAACCTCAACCTCGGGCATGTATCAAATTGATAAATATTTTATTGCTTGGTTCATTTTTGTTGCTGCTCCAAAGCATCAGCTGACATTCAGTTTGCACTGAGACAAAGCCAAAAATCTATCCACTGGAAAGAAACAACCCACAGAGCTCAATTATGACTCTCAGTAGATTTTTAGCACCTGCTAATTCAACGGTGCATTAAAGGCTGACTACAAGATATATCACCAGCTATCTATCATCCTGAAGGATTTTTTCTGAGACAGGAAACAATCCAAAATCCAGCAAATCAATACTACAGAAGAAGCACATAATGATCCATGGTGTGGGATCACAAAGGTGGGGTCCAGAGTTCTCCTTATTAATCACACCCTCAGGATTGTGGAGTTTACTGACCATGGGCTCAATTTCAAAAAGAAAGGAATGATTCTGGCAAATCATCTAAAAAAAATATATCATGAGTGGCAATTCATCAATTTGGTCAAGCCTCTTTTCTACAAGGCTCAGCCTGAATGACAGACGCATTGTTGGTCATTAATGGCATCAACGCACACCTGAATGGTGCAACATGCTGATCAGACTATTGATGGAGGCTATACTTAGTTTGATCCTTGTCAGAAGCCTTAAAGCCTCCGGTTCTGTCTGGCCAGTATTTGATGTGTGTGCGAGATGAAAAGTGTAACCCCTAGCGTTGGCGTTCATCGACTGCATGGAAAGGTGACAAAAAAAGAGGAAGGGATCGTTAGAAATAACTTACCCCGAGGGTGACACTGTCTTCTCTTTGAAATAATGGGATGAACTTATCTCCGCGGATAATTTCGGACTTGTTCAGAGGACGAAATCGACACAACACCTTGATATTGCATTCCGCGTTAGCATCAGCCATTGTGAAAAAATAAATAAATAGTGGTCGCGCTTCCAAAAGATAAAGAGGGATTTCTTTATCTAAATGAAAAATAAAATATTCCCTGTGAAACCTTTTCCCGTAAAACCACCTGGACGCAGGCTGGAACCACCGGCTATACCCACATGCAAAGCGAGACTGGCAGGCGAAGCATTTGGGAGAAGGGGCATCTACGAGTTTTTGGACAGACTACAGCCAAATTCATTAAAGAAATGTCAAACAAAAAAGGGAAAAAAAAGAAGCCGTTTGAGAGTGTTTCTGGTTTTAAAATGCGCTCAAAGCAAACTCAGGTGCAGTTGAAGCAGGTGGAGAACAGATGGAGAGTTGTAAACGGGGAGTATATTCCAAACTGGTCCGGTCGGCAGTGTCTGGATAGGCTGCAGGCTCCTCAGAAGCATGCCTTGCATCACTGTCATCGCTGCTCTCTCACTGGGGGCGGGGCGTGCAAAAGTAGCGACTCAAATCCTCTCTCATCAGCACCACTGAGCACAGGGACCGAGGAGAGGGGAGGAGTTGAGCTCCAACTCTGCCTCTTATTCCCGTAGCCACAAATAAATTGGCCTCCACAGAAAAAGTTCTTCACATTCACATTAACTTGCTTTCATCTGGCCAGAAGTTTTTTTTAGAGGAGAGTATTTGTCTTTTTTTTTCTGTTCTCTCCCTGTCTGCACCAGACTGGTCGTCATGGCAATGCTGTTTTGCATGACAAACTGGGTAGTCATGTGGGAACCAAAGGCTCCATAATGTTTGCCCTGGGATTTAAAGGGGTACGCCAGCTATGTAGCACTGATATCCTGACTTTAAAGCTTTTAAGCTTTCTATAAGGTCCAAAAACACTAAATACTACTTTACTTTTCCCAAAATGCTTGTATACCTTTCATTAGGTCCCAACAACTCCAGTTTATAACACAAGCTTACTGTTATGAATTAGTGGTCTCAAGTCCATGGAGAGATGCAAATATGTGAGATGTTATTTTTCTGTCATACTTTAGAAAGCTACTCAAGAGCAGCATCACACTCCTCATGATGAGTAAACAGACGTTCATATGTAAAATTGGTGTAAAGCCCCCTTTAAAATCTGGATTTTGCCTTTTGGCCTAGAATGTATAAGGCAAGGAAGCAAGAGTTGCCTACAGAAATAATTACCAAAAACTATAGTAAGCTTACATTTAAAATGAATTAAGTAGCTTTTTAAATTCTAATGAGAAATGTCAAATAACCAAAGGTTAGCTATATATGTATGTTCCATGCTTTACTCCAAGAAATAGACCACAGTGTAAAGAATATTGTGCTGTAGTGCACTCAGTGGTAAAGTTGCCACTGCTCTTTAGATGTGCTTGCTAACAATCGTTGCCCTTGATAATATGCTCCAGTGTGGAAGTAGCCTAAAGGTACAAATTAAATGATGTTTCGTCACCCAATCCAATCATGTGAGTGGTGTAATAGGCTAGTTATAGGGCTCAAAAAACAACCTGATTTCTTCATAAATATGTGACAGCTGGTCAGAGACATGTTTCCCCATTATTGTACAAAATACTGCAACCAAGTTCCCACTTAAAATACGACTCTACTGATCACACTTTTGGTTTTATGTTTGTTAAATGTAACAATAGGCTATATAATATGCAGTATGTTATATATCTAGGCCCATATACTGAGTGTGATAGACAGTAGGCCATCATTTGAAAAACAAACATGCTTTACTAGAATATATTCCTATGTTTGTAATTACGGCAAAACAACAAGAGATTTAAAGGGAGTGAGTTGTTTAGTTTGATTTGTTTTCAGCATTTTTTCTCCTTCAAAGATGTACCATATAGTTGTTTCTCCTTCAACATGAAATGTCCACTTTGTGTGCGGATGTAAATACAAAGTAGTTAAAGCATTTATAGCATAAAATATTAGTAAATTAAAACATAAACATGCACGATCACACCTTAAATCACTACTTTCTGTACTTTAGATAAGGTGGATAATGTTTTCCCCCGACAGAGTGAATCATCTTATCAATTGACCATCTTTGGCCCATTGATTGGGTTGTTTGCTCGCACCTTTAGCGCCACCGTGTGACGACCCTGCTACAATTCAACCCCATATATACACTTTAAAAATAAAGACAGAATCATTTTGGTGTTAAAGCAAATTAGTTGTTGAATACATTATGAGCAATATAATATGTTTGATGGTAAAAAAATAAAAATAAATCAAATAAACCGACGTTAAACGACAGAGATGGACCGTTAAACCTTATTGGTCCAAAACCACGCATGCGTAACGACGCTCCACTTTTGTCGGGTGTGTTTGTTTTGGTGGTCGTGGTAGGCCGTTCTCTGCGGTTGATATAGCGAAAACGTGACCGCCCGCTCGCCTGTAAGAAACCCAACGTACACGCTGTGAAATCGAGCTGCAGCTGGTGACACACAGCAGAACTGGAGAATCCTCCGCCGGCTGAGAGACTGCTGGCTCATCTATCGTTAGCTTTTGTTACATTTCCCCTCGGCTCATCGATAACTTACACGTTTTAACAACTGTTATCATATTCTATCGTGATTTATTGGTGTAGTCTTTGCTTCCCCGCTGACAATGGCTGATCCTAAATACGCAAACCTGCCGGGAATTGTAAGTGGCTAACGCTAGCAGACAGATTAGCTTAGGTGGCTATTTTGGCTGCGCTAGCTCCCAAGGGCTGTGACAGCTCTTGTTTTGCTTACGTCCCCTGCTGTTTACTCCGTTGTCTGCTTGTTTGTTTGTAATAACTATACAACTAGCGTTAACAATCGTATATTTTTAGTTGCTAACTTCTCAGCTAATGTTGTATCCTGTGATACAAAGCACCAGAGAGTAGGGCTTAGCAAAGTACGTGTTGTGTTGAATGGGCCGGGGCGTTGGCCAGGCTAATGACAATAAACTGGACGTCTCACTGTGTGATAAACCGCTTTCCTTATTGTTTTTATAGGCCTTCAACGAGCCGGACGTGTACGAGACCGGTGACCTTCCAGAAGATGACCAGGCCCAGTTTGAGTCGGTAAGTGGACGTTTTGTTTTTACACCCTGGATGTGTTCAGACTGTTCGCTGCAGATAACTCAACTAGTTAAAAACTGTTCACACTTCACTTACATAGCGGTACTAATTTCTTCCTTGTGGTCAGTGTGCATTATCCCTGTCGCGATTAAACAGCTAACCACGCAGTTACTTGGCTTACGGACTTACATAGCAAAACAATAATCTCACCTAGTGTTGTTTACTAAGCTGTTGTGTATGAAATTAAAGTTAAACACTGCATTTGTGCTGTCTTTACTAACTCTGTAGTGCAATGTGTGTTCTCCTTTTGTCTCTTACAAACATTGTAAGAGGAGATCTATAATCACCTCTTGACTTCAGTGATGGTTAATACATCATTTCTAATTTATGTGAAAAGCTTATTCATTAGTTTCCAAGAATTCAGTATGTTTCGTTATATTTCATTCAAAGGGTCAACCTGCACTATTCAGATTACTGTTTAACTACATGTATTGTCCATATTAGTATATCTGCTTATTTATGCATGGAGAGAAGTAAGGGAAGACAATATAAAATAGATTTCAAATATCAAATTCCCCCTGTTTTGTTTCATATCTGTGTATATTCTTACTGTCTTCTATCTGCAATGTGAAGCAGTCAACTAGAGTTACAGTATTGGTAAGAACTTTGTAAACACTTGAGAGATGCTGGCCTGACGTTGCTTTTAAACATGTCTGGGCTGTTTGCTGACCAGCTGAGTGAATCCTAATTGGCATTTTCCCTTCCATGTTTCCACATTCGTTCTTCCCATACCCTTGCCCTTGTTTTGACTCTTCCCCACCCCTCCTGGGACCCTAGTTTGTACAAGTAAGACTGGCTCCATTTTACTCTCAGTGAGCTTAATGCCATGCTTTTTATGCATGTCTTTTAATCTCATACCCACTTTTCCTGCCTCTATTGATTGGGATGAAATGAGAAATAGATCGATGGAGTGACCCTTTTTTTGTGCTCTGTAATTTATCATTTTTTGATTGTTTTGAAGTGCAAGGGATTGATTCTTTTCCTCCTATTTGTGTTGCTCATGTAAACCATTTTAAGGGAATAATGATGTTGATGGTTCTTCAGCAGCACTTTAATTCAATCTTTCACTGGGTCATGCTTTGACAAAGCAGTGAATGCTCAAGTGTGTGTGTGTGTGTGTGAGTGTGAAGCACTGACAGGAGAAAGAAGTGTTTGTTTATTGCCTTTAGATATTTCCCTGTTTAACCTGTCATCATGTTCTAACAGTTGCTTCTTGGCTAACCATACTATTCTCACTAACTGGACATTTTAAAGGCTCCTATACACTGTGCAATAACAGGTTCATTGCATTGTCACACTTTGCCAGCTGGATATAGTATAATAAAATATGTGCTGGACTATACGTCATCAGTTTTGACACAAGTCAGATTGTTTGATGAATCCCTAGTGAATCATAGCGCCAATTATGAGAATAAATAAAACATGAAAGCAGAAACACGGCATCAAGTCACACAGTCCATCGTTGGTGCTCATGTATTTTGAAAATGCAGCCAAACGAGAAACAGGCTTTTATCCGTGGCGCTGGCACTTTTATGTTCCACAACATTTTGCCGGAGTTGTACAGTACGTAGTTGTGCCAATACTGACCTCATTAAGTTGATTGGGTATTGGCCAAATGTGACTGATCCACGTCGAGACGACAGATGAGTTTCTTTGTCACGACACTATAAAATTCAGTCTTCTTGCTAGCCCTAGTTTAATGCCATATTCTAGCAGAAATCACATTTAGAAGTTGGTCCTAAATTACACCGTCAGACGTTTGAGGCGTCTTTGTTTGAGTCTCACAGTGAGACCTTAGACCACCATCTTGGGTTGATGACCAAAGATATCAATACATAGTCACACAGTGTATAGGGACCTTAACTTAAACATACTTCATTAACCACTGTAGTTTTATCTACCAGATTTATTAGGTTGAACTGCATGTTATAGAACTCACCCCGACTGAATGATTTATGATCGATGTAAAAAAAACAAAAAACTGAATGTACTTCAAGGTTTATAGTAAGTTTATTGACTTCTTTTAGACACCCTTCAGCCAACTGTTACTGTTCATTCTGACTCCTGGATTGTTTTGTAAAAACACCAATCCTCTGCATCCATAGCATAATGCTCTGAGACCTATAATGCTCTCGAGGAGAGTGTATGGTAGCACTGCATTATAAAGTACAGTATGGTATCAATGGAGAAAGTAACTTGTTGGTGTTAATGTACCATCTTAACCATCCTGAATCGGGGAAGAGAGAAAGAACTGGAGACATCATATGCAGTCTGAACAGTGTGTCTCCAGGGTTTTTTAGCAGCAACTCTCAGAACACTGCTTTCTTTCTTATCTTTCCCTGACCCTGGCCAACTGTTCCTGTTGTGTGCATGGCATGTGATAACCACATTAATCTGTGTTGTCTCTCTCTCTCTCTCTCTCTCTCCCCCCTTCTTTTTTCTCTCCCTCTGCTCTTATGTTACTTTCTCTAACTCTCTTTGGAAACCCAAGGAGCTGGTAAGAGCCTGACTAACCCTCCTCCTCACTCCTCCTCCTCACTCATCCTCCCTACCCTATCTGTGTAACTGTCTTGTGTTCTGTGTGTTTCCTTGGTCTGTCTTTTTTTTTTAACCAAATCTGTGTGTGATCCCGGACTCATGTCATCTATCTGTATGTGTCAGTGGTGTTTTGATCTTACCCATAGCCTCTAGTTCATCATAATTGATCACTAGGACATTTTGATTAAATGATCTGCATTTTTTTTGTGCTCCTCAGAATCACTAATAAAAAAAAACATAATTTAGAAAGTTCTAGTGGCTTCTGCTTTTTTTTTTTATTTACACAACATTAATTTACCATTGTAGACTTATACCACATAGGTGATTTTCAAAATAATAAAAGGTCTACAATCAAGCCTAGTCTTTTGCCTGCTGGTACAAGTTATGTTGAAATAATCCGGTTCTCCCTAAGGCTGCCCCAAATAATGACTCTGAAGCGCATGGAAATTTTCATGATTCATGGCTATAATGGTTTTTAATTTCTGAGGGAATCTGACCTTGGTAAGCAATAATAATCGTTTTAAATCATAATTTGGGGCAATGATTAAGTGCAAAATTTCCCCCTTATATCTTATCAACCTATCAACTTATCAACATATTTCAAGTCTACCTTGGGCTTCGAGACTTTTGGCTCACTGGCTCAGTAAGCCAAGGATCATTTTTAAGTCTTGGCTGTCCGTATTGACTCATATCCCTTTATGGTTTTGTTAACGTTCATCTGACTTTATTTTCTTGGTGTTTCAATGACAGGAGGAGCTCTGCAGTGACAGCGTGGAGAGGATTGTGGTCAACCCCAACGCAGCCTATGACAAGTTCAAAGACAAGCATGTCACCACCAAGGGACTTGGTCAGTTCATAAGGGATGATAAATCACTCTTAACATATCTTTTTATTGTAATAACTATTACATTATAAGTGTTTAAATATTATTTACCCTACCGTCATTGATACAATAGGGTGGACAGACAACTAGAAACAACATTAAAAACACATTTTCAGAATGATCTTTGTGAAATTACAGACTGGCAGAGAAAGTTAACAGGTGCTGTCACTTCAAAATGTGGCTCTTCTGTTACAGGTGTAACAAAACAGATCCATCCTTTTGCTAATTTCATACCGCATTTCCTGTTCTGGCTCAGACTAGGCAACTCGACAACCAGTTTTCTTTTTTCTGACTTTTTTTATTTCTCTTCCAACCCCTTTGTCACTTTTTTTTCACAGACTTCTCAGACAGAATCAGTAAAAGCAGAAGAGTGGGCTATGAGTCAGGAGAATTTGAAATTGTGAGTATGTTCTGTTCAGCAGAAATTCATTATTTCACTTTTTGTTCTTTCAGAAGATGTTCCACTTTGAGGATAACACCACCATTATCATTTTTATTTAACTCGCTACATGTGTTTTCTGTTAAAGTCAAGAATCTGAGATGGTGTTGTTGTGTGATAGTTTGTCTCAGGGATTCTTCCTCATGTCTAGACCCACTTTGCTGTTATGTAATATTCATACCCTTTCTCTTCTCTCCCATCTTTGTTTAGCTTGGAGAGGGCTGTGGAGTGAAGGAGACACCTCAGCAGAAGTACCAGCGCCTGGTGAATGAGATCCAGGAGCTCACTCAGGAGGTGGATACCATCCAGGTGAACTGACACTGAGACACACTCACATGCACTCAAGCACACTTCTCCCTTGCCCACAGGACTTGGCAAGGAATGGTACGCTCTGATTATACAGCCTTTTATCTTGCTGTCTGCACACAAATTCAATAGCCTTCCACAGAGGGCCACGCCTCCACTCTGCTCCTCGACCAAGTCATCATGTATTCATTCAGAGGACTGCAATGTTTTAATTAGGACATTTTCAGAGGTGTAATATATAGTTCCAGTTCTTATTGATGAACTACAGACCTGAATATCCAATCCAAAGCTTAGTATGGTGTGTGCACTGATGCATTATATTTACCCTGGATTGATTAAAACCAGGGCCAGGAATTGCTTTTCAGACTTGCAGAGACCCCACAGCCTAGAAACTAATTAAACCTTTGGTGTCATTAACTTGGATAGACACAGAGCAGGACCTGCTGCTCTATGAGTCCAACATCAATTTCTAATTCAACCTCTGAATTGGCAGTTTTTGTGACGGTATCTGTGGGTTTCAACTCATGCAGGTCATGCTGGCAGAATATGCAGCCTGACTGCAGGGAATGTGCTGCTGCTCTGCTGCATCCTCTAAATTTACACTCATGAAAGACCTCTATGGAGCAACTGACTTGCTCCAAGTAATATGTGTCCATACATTAGGTTGAATTCTGTGAATGAAAAACTAAAACGCTGCATACTTGAGTGAGAACATATTGTAATTCACTTAGACCACATTAACTGAGGAATAATGGCATAGTTTGATGATATTATACTAAGCCTGGTTGCAAGAGCTCCGTCTACAGACGGAAAGTGAATTATTTGTTCCGTCATAGTCCGTTTATTTTAACTGCTTGTTTTGGGGGTTTTTTTGTGGTTAAGTAAGTTCCAAAGAGATTCAGGAAACGTGACTCCAGAAAAAGAACATATATTCGGGAAAGCAGCTCAAGCCTTCTAAAGCTTATCAAACCTAGAACCAGATTAAAAAACACTGAAATATTCCTTTACTTCTGTTCTATGGGACACATGTTCTCAGTGAACAACATACCTGGTTTCCCAGACAGACTAGTCCTCGATTTCATCAACCTCTGCGTTGTTGTTCGAAAAAAACGTCTGTCACTTTCACTGCTGTGAAGAACTCAATGACCTCAGTGTTCCCTCTGCTTCCAGGCTGCCACAAAGGAAAGCAATGCAGAGGAGCGCCTGACTCCAGTGGTACTCGCCCAGCAGGCAGCCCAGCTCAAACAGCAGTTGGTTTCTGCCCATCTTGACTCACTGTTGGGACCGCAGGCACACATCAACCTGGCTGACCCAGATGGAGCGCTGGCCAGGTGAGCTGAGAAGGGGGGGCGGGGGGGGTAGTAGAGGGAGTCAGCAATAGATAGTTGGAGAGAAGTGCAGGGGAATTCATTTTATTGAGCCTTGGACTAAAACCTAGTTATATCCAGTTATAAGGAGTGAGAGAGTAATAAGGTCAAGGCAGTACAGCTGGTATCAATTGCTCACATAAATCCTGCTGATCTCAGTGTAGCACTACCTGGGGAGCACAAGAACTGATGGGCAGATGATTTAGGAAGGGAAATAATAGAGAAGGCATGGTGAGAATAAAAACATGCTGCAATATGTAAAAGAAAGAAACAGAAAATAAAGCGGGAAAGAGACACTTGACACTAGTGAAAGAGGATGAAGTAATAAAAACTTTTCAAGCTCCCCTTGACCTTGCAGTTCACAACAGAGCCTGAAAAGATTGGTTCTGGCCTAAGAGTCGGGTCATAACACAAGAGAGGGGGGGCACAGCAGCACATGGGGCTGATAACAATATTGAATATAATAATCCTTTTGTGTCTCCTTTTCCCTCCTTCCCGCAGGCGTCTGCTCACCCAGCTGGAAGCGGCCAAGGGCAGCCGTAGCAGCGCCACAGGAGACAACAAGCCGACGGCATCAGCTAAGGGCCCAGATGGAGTGGTACTCTACGAGCTGCACAGCAGACCAGAGCAGGAAAAATTCAATGAGTCTGCCAAGGTAAAGTGGAAAGGATGGTGGTAAATGTCTCGGATGAATGTGCTTTCAAATGTTTCAGCACTATGACCCGGTAGACATGTTTTGTTTTCATTCTCATGAGAGAAATGTCAGAATATTTGATGGCAATAAACGGGACAAAAGGCTGGAAGGTATGTGCGTGGGCGTTTGTGTGTGTGTGTCTTGTGGGATGCTGTTGTCACTGCCAGCCATGTGTTGCCTTGTTCTGTCCCTGTAGATGGCGGAATTGGAGAAGCGTCTTGCTGAGCTGGAGATCGCTGTTGGCTCAGGATCAGACAAGCAGGTACACACTGACTCATACACAACACACACACACACACACACACACACACTTCCTCTCTAATTCTTTTCTCTTTCATTCACACTAATTCTGTTTATCTCCTTCTCTCTTTTACTCTCACACCAGCAGAATTTTCATGCTCCTGTTGCTGTGTAACCATCCACAAAGTGAAATTGAAATAAAATCTTCCACTGGATTTATGTAAATTATGGGGGTGGCTTCATTGTGTCTTGTTAAAATGTATATTCCCTCTTTGTGTATATATTGCAGGGACCTCTAAGTGCTGGTGTACAAGGAGCCAGTTTGATGGTAAGAAATCATCTACTTTCTTTTGGTACATGCTGCATGGAGTTTGTGTCTTTATTCATAACTCTGTGTATCTGCAGCCAGAGAACTGGGTCATACTTCAAAGATGACATCGAATTCTCCAAGTTTGTTTATTGCAGCTGTGCCAGGAGTAGGAGCAAGAAAACAAAGTTTTGTGCTCAAACTTAAATATAACTTATGCATCTGTTCTTGTTTGTATCAGGACACCATAGAGCTCCTGCAGGCGAGGGTCAGCGCACTGGACTCTGCTACTCTGGATCAAGTGGAGGCCAGACTGCAGGTAACTAATCCATGCACAGTATGCAGCACATGGTTAGGGGGGAAATTGAGGGTTTCTGATACAAATAGACAAGTCAGTTGCAATTTGATTACATTCTGATTTGTACGACATGTTTCCCATATAAACTTTTTTCTTTTTTAAGAAAACTGAAATGTTTGTTTTGCTGTCCTGCAGAGCGTTACGTGACAAGCTAGATATTTCTTCTGTTTGTGCTGAGTACAGAGATTGGTCAAACTAGCATTACCTTCAGAAGTATCTTGTGTGCTATATCTAAAAAATACCATAGTATCAACATGAACAAAATCAATGCTTGTATTTCTTGTTATGTATCTGAAAGCCTCTAGGATGGCACCTCTCGCACAAAATAAATAAATAACTTTTTTCTCTCCTATCTAGAGTGTCCTTGGGAAGATGAATGAGATTGCTAAACACAAGGCAGCGATTGAGGACGCTGATACACAAAACAAGGTTTGTAATCCCTGTACATCCATCAGTCCACACTGAGTGCAGTAATCATCTCAGATTCTTTCACACAAAATGGCAATATACAGTCGACCTGTGACTCCTTTCAGATGGAAGATTATTACAATCATTAGAGTTGAGTTTTGAACAGGAAGCTGTATAATATATCCAGTAATATTGTAGTCTCACAGAAGATAACCTGGCTAGTTCAGTCTTAGGCGTTCATGCTGTCATGAAAAAAACACATCAGAGGGCTGTACTACGAAGCGAGGTAACTGGCTTATCCAGGTAACTTCAGGAGTAACTCTGTGACGTCAGGTGTAACTTCCAGGTAAACTCGTACTACAGAAGGTGGATACGTTTTACCCGAGGTGTGTTGTCATGGCAAGTTACGCTCCATGTCTAAACGGTTCCAAGCTGGTTATTTTTGTGGTTAAGTCAATGTTAACCTATAAACCACCTCTCCCCCGCCCACAAGGCTCACTGTGGAGGTCGGGGGTGTTAAAACACCATCAAAATCCTCTGGTTTACCCTGGTAATGTTACCTATGAAAGATATTGATTCCCATCTGAGGGAATTCACAATATAAAAATGCTTTTTAATTTGTATAGACTAGGCCTATATAAAGAACACTTTATTTCCAGAAGAATCCAGAGGCACTTATTCTAACAGTAGCATATTACATTCACACAGGTAGCCTACAGCTTCTGTGCTTTAGGAAATACATTTAAATTCAGGGCTTAATGTTCTCAGGCATAGAGCAGTTTTAAATTCATATAATACTTAATTCAACACATTGTACACATTTCTTCACGGATAACTTTTCAGTTTGTAAGGAATCTTGACTTTTTTCAAGTTTCAGCTGAGATCTGCATGATTTCCAGGCAACAATCTTTTTGCCTATCTTGGGCATGTATAGGCATGTCCTGTTTTAAAGTGCTGTACCCTTAAGTGGCCAGTAGATGGCAGGCCATATTAATTATGTGATTATGGTGAACAATGAGGTCATGCAGTGGTGTGTTTTTTATACATTAAGGTGTTCTACATTGCAAACAGGATGTGTGTGACGCGTGTTCATTACTACAAAGCACAACTGCATGCTTTTGTGTGAGATTATGTTTAATTAAGTCATTGTAACCACAGTAACTGGGCCTCTGTCTTTAGCCATAAAATACAGTTGTAATTGGAATGGCCAAATTTCAAGCAGTATGAGAAGAATTTACTATTTATTATAATAATGAATGCAGGTATGTGTGCAAACTTGACAAACCACAAAGTTACCAGACTGCTTAAATATAGACTATACACAGACAAACGTATGCATGTATGTCATTTGCAGTACAATAATCATTACATCAGGAAACTAAAGACAAATCTGTGACCTTGGGTAATAATGTTCTTTAAGCTGGAGGGCTTTAGCTTGGTATTAAATGTGCCTGTATGTGTTTACCTGTCAGGTGTCGCAGCTTTATGACGTGGTGCAGAAGTGGGATGCCGTGTCTACTTCTGTACCTCAGGTGGTGCAGAGGCTTGTCGCTGTCAAGGAGTTGCATGAGCAAGGTAACACACAGGAACTGAAGCTTGTTTACAATGTGGTAGCCCAATACTCGCTTTGTGTCCTCACATAACTCTCTAAGCCATGAGACAATATTAGTTGTTTACCATCACATCACTTGACCTCATAACATGACTGTATATGAATGTACTGGTGTTGAATAATTTGTTCGTATTGTAAATATTGTAATAATATTGCTCTAGGGCAGCGTTTCACCCCAGTAAGGATAATAACAATGAAAACTTGGATAATTTATGTTCCGTTCTTTTATGTGAGTGAAGAAGAACCTTGAAATGACACCCATGAGAGTTCAAGGAGAGGATGTATGTAGGTTAGTGGGGGTGGGGAGTGGCATTAAAGATTCAAAATATGTAGGATGTAGCTACAGAACATAACAGGGTGTGAACCCGGATCACATTTCAGGCAACATCTGTGCTGGGAAGTAATACTTAGTCTGAAAGATTTGCATTTGCAATGGGAACGTCTGTGTGCGAGACAAAAGATGAAAACTAAGCGAAAATGGGATTCATTCGGATAATGGAATTAGCCCAAACCATGCCGTTCTATTATAACAAAGGGCAAAAAATCACAGAAAGGGAGCCTCAAAATGGTAATAGAATTAGACTAAATCTAGCAATACTGTTAAACACTCCCTCAGGGAGAAAGAGATGCATGATATTATATATCACATTATCATCTTTTTATTATTTAGCACATGAAAGCAGAACCTTGGCATTAATAGATCATATTGATAATTCATTTCTGAGAGCTGAAAGAGGTCATTTATCACCGAGACTGTCTTCGCACCAATCTGTCACAGTCTGCAGCTCAAGTGTTCCTCGCTCAATAGGGTTTAGCTGCACTGATTTTATTTTTGTTTTTCTCTCATGATCTTTCTTTACTGATGAAGGCAAACGAGTAAAAGAAAGTAGCTTAATCTCTCAAGCAGTCATTCATCAGTTTCACATTACATTTGTCTCTACTTGCCTTCACTTCACCCAAGATGCAAAGACAACATTACATTTCTTAAAGGTCCAGTGTGTAGCATTTAGGAGAATCTATTGGCATAATATTCATATGTATGTTTTCATTAGTTTATAATCACCTGAAAATTGTGTTTTTATTACCTTTTTAGAATGAGAAATTTTTATCACGGAGTGGTTCTTTTCCACAGTAGCATAGAACAGACAAACCAATCACTGGCTCTACATAGGGCTTTTCGTGTTTTTTCGCAGGTTTGGTAGCCACCGTAGTTTCTCTGACATGCTTGGAAGGCTGAGCTGTATTCAAATTGTTGCAGTCTGCAACTTCACTGCTAGATTACACTGAATCCTACACACTGGTCCTTTAGGCAGGGTTTTGAGAATCGATACTCAGTCTTCCTTTTTCTTCCTCTCTCTCTCTCTCTATGCACTTCCCCCTGATTTCACTTCTTGCAACCCCATAGCCATGCAGTTTGGCCAGCTTCTGACCCACTTGGACACCACTCAGCAGATGATCAACAACTCTCTGAAGGACAATAACACCCTGCTAACACAGGTAGGAAGTTCAACATAAATCATGTTTAACACCGCCAAAGTGTGGAACAACAATTTTGGCCACTTAAATGTTTACCTCCTGTATGAGTTACTACAACCATAGGACTACTGGCACGAGGCCAGTAGAAGTACAGTGTCTCGCTGGTAGGTCCACACAAAGGATTTCAAACAATGAACCCATTGCTATCATATTACAGGAGCTAATCTCTTTCTATAGTCAAAGACTAAAATGTTTGTTAAATGTGTTAAAAGGTAGAAACCTAGTGAACCTTGTTGTAGCTTCTTGTCTACAGGCGATTTTTCACAGTAAGATTGAAGAAGTTGGATTCATAAAAAATAAAAAAAAACTCAACAAACTACTTGGAAATATCCTCTTTATACATGGAATAGAAGTGTCCTTGAATACACTTTCAAGTGTGCTGCCATGGCAAAAGAAACAGTCTAACAAAGTGCAGCTACCCATTAGAAGGACAGAGGCTCTCTGAAGGTTCTTCTGGGTTCAGTCAATATTCAACCTTTGCTTTTACAGTTCAAGGCATCAGGCTGGATGGACAAAGCACTATCTTGTCAAGGAGAGTTTCTTTTGTTGATGGTGTTTGTTGAAACTTAAAATCTTCTTCAGAAAGGTTTTGATCTTACCCCTAATAGACTTTCATTGTGTTCTTAAGTGAAGTGTCCTAAGGCTTTAGAAGGGTATTTAATGTGTCGCTAACAAGCTTTTACAGAAAATTTAATTTCTTTTATACCATGTAGCAGTGAATATGTTAAATCTTTGGTTCATAGTCCACGGTGATGTTTTCAAATCCCTTGTATTGTTAGTCTAACTTTTTAAGCCAAATATTCAGTTTACAGTGACAGAAAATGGAGAAAACTAGTGAATTCTTACAATTGTAAAGTTTGCCAAAAACTATTTTCCTGCATTGTGACCAGGTTCTCCCTTCTATAAGGACATTTGCTTTCCATTATGCTTGCTGTATCTTGCTGCCCCCTCTATTTCTAAATTTTTCCTGCCTATCATAACAATCACACTTTTTACACCTAACTTTTCTTGCAACTCTACTTCTTTCTTTTGTATCTAACTTGCATGTCTCCCCCCCCCCAGGTTCAACAGACAATGAAAGAAAACCTGGTGGCTGTAGAAGAGAACTTTGCTGCGCTAGATCAGAGGATGAAGAAGCTCTCCAAATAAACGGTGGCAGGAGTTTGGACCAGTCCAGGAGAGTGTAGAACATGGACAAATAAGAGAAGGCTAGAGAGCACAGAGGGAGGATTGGGGGTTGAACTCTGTCCTTTTTGGCCATCCCTCTTTTGCTCTCTAGTTTGCCTCTGCCTTTTTTCACTAAGTGGAATGTTTAGAAAGTTGGAAAAGATGGAATAACAAAAAAAAGAGGAGACCAAATGTTCTTGTTCACCCTCCTTTTCTCTTCCTTTCTCTTGCATCAAATTGATATCAACTGAAAACACATTTGTCCACTCTATACATGCCACTGATTGCAGTCCCCTGTTAAGCTTATTGAGTTTTAGACTGGATTGTTTTTATAATTATTAGTATTAAACATAAGAATTTCCTCCATTCCTTTTGGAACCTCTCACTATTACTGGATTTGTACTGTATACTCTGATCAAATTAAATGATCACAGTAATGTCGGGTTGATGGGTGACACATTAAAGATGTTGTCAGCTGTGTAAAAAGAAAATCAAGATCTATTGTCTTATAGTGTTGTAGCAGGAGCACGTTTGTGCGAGTGTCAGGGCCAAGTCACGGAAGGAAAGCTTGTAAATATGCCTGTGTACCTTATTGTTTCTTCACGCTCAGTCGCTTGTAACTATATTATTATGACTGAGAGCAGACACCACAGACAAACTTTTAATCTGCTTTGTCATTGCCTACAAGTCAACTGTATTGTATATCTGTGGTCATGGAAACTGATCAATAAAACAAAGTGCGATAAGGTTGGCTCCTTTTATTTCATGTTGATCCTGTTTTCTCACCTCATACAAAATAAAAAATCTATTATTAAACTGTATTAATCTTACCAAATTACTAAGTGTATTTTAAAAAAAGTCTATTCCAACCCCCATTGTATTGATTATGTGGTCATGTCTTGACATATACCCGAACATGTTGGGATGATGTAAGATGACATGTAACTGGGGATGATGTAAGATGGCATGTAAGGTAATGAGTCATCAGCCGTTGGTATGGAAAATACAGCCATATTTTGTCATGTAAAAAAAACACATTTTATAGAGCGAAAATTTTAAAATCACATTTGCCACTTTCAACTAATCTGGTGCACCTGCAGGTATTCAAAGTCTTTTTAAAACCACTCATTTGGGTTTTCTTTATTCAAGGAATGATGCCTATTTGTGAACACTAGGTGGCAGCAGAGCATCTACTAAAAAAGGGTCAAACTCAAACTGTAATTCAGCTTTCAAATATACTATTAAATAGATTGAATGCAAGTTCTTCTGCCATACTTTCAGATAGTTCTGTCCCTGTAGAAATAACAAAAATAAGTTACAACAGTCTAGTTTGTATTTGCATTGCTTATCCCTAAAGGAAGAGTAACTTGACATTCTTGACCAACTGGATTTGAGTGGAGTAGGAAGAGCTAATTTAAGACACTGCCTACCATATAAAAAGTAAAATTTAAAAAGCATTAGTAAGCTTGAGGTGGCCAAGAGCTTTAAGGGGGCGACCATGAGTGACAACAACTTTTATTGCTTGTCATTCCCCATCTTCATCTCATTCCTCATTTTCTCTCATCACTCTACTGTCGGCTATTGATACCTAATAAAACCCTCATCCTACCGGATTAAACCGCACACATTGTTCTCCCATAGTGAACACAACCACAGTTGTACTTCACAGCTAATGAAAACCCACAGCAGAGTTAAATCAGGAAGAGACACCAAGGAAAACCCACTCTTGGTATTTGTTAAGACAAAGTACTCAATGAATTTCTCAGTGAGGTCAACCTCAAATCCATCTGGCATTAGCAGGTTTATAACAAGCATTAAGGCAAAAGGTTTGCTCATGTCTGATGTCAGGTGATGGTATTAGTGACAAAGGTAGACAGGTAACAGAGTAGGTTAAGGATCAGGTGTTTCTGATGAGTCATCCAGACATGGTACAGTGTAAGCTCAGAGGTCGGTTTCATAATAACTAAAATATCTCCCTTTAGAGTCCTCTCCAGCTGGATTAAAGACTTATTGGACTACAATGACAACAAATGATAAACCAGTGTTAGTTTTACCTCAGTGGAGTGTTATAGCTACATCTTATTGTCTGTATCACATTTTTTTTTTTTATATCAGAGAAAGATTAGATGCAGAGCAGCTTTCTGTTTCCCCTAAATGTGGGTGGACTTAAGTACTGGCCTGCTTGGACAGGACATATCAAGTGTGACTTGCAGGGAATTAGATCCAGAGCTCCAACTTAGAAGGGAATGCCCCAGATGAGCACAGAGACATACCGTGTACTGTATATCATGTTATACTGTATTTGTCCTTCTATTTTGGGTGTGCTGGATTGGGTCAGCCCAGCCCCATCTGTTAAAACACATTTATACACAATTACCTAGAGGTCGGTGTAAAATGTTACCATCTCAGTAATATGATTTTATTTCTCTATGAATATAAATATGAACAAGGATAGAAGGACAATGAATAAATGATAAAAACAGAGCCCCCTTTTGAAAAACAGACGATTTTGGCAGCAGGGTATAAATCCAAACAGGACTTTTAGAAACATAAAGGGCATTTAAACCCTTGACTGTACAGTACAAATGCAGCTACTTATATATGTCAGTAGCCCACACCAACCTTTACTCCCCTGGACTAAGTAAATATTTAAGTCCTCAGGCAGCACAGAGCAGTTGAACACAGAGGAGGCCGTAGGGAGCACCAATTTCTCCGAAATCTCTGTTTCTGGTGCTGATACGGGAAAAACTACGGGTAGAGGAAGAAAAGGATGGAGTAAGAGCCTGGAGTGTGTGTCTCGCTGCCAGTATACCCACCTGTTCAGACAGGCTTTTAAAGTTTAATGCCTTACAGTCTCTTGCTTTGGCTTGTTTTTATGCCTTTGCCTTTTTTCGTCTGTCTTATCTTTGACACGTGTGTCGGTGCCTAGAAATGAAGAAATCAAGGCTGTCTGTACTGTACTGAGATTTCTGAGACAATGTAATTAAAATCAAGGAATTGTCTAGAGGCAATCAGTTTCGGAGCAATTGAAAGGTTTTGGAAATTGACTACAGATTGATTACAATGCCATGTGATTGAATATTTAACAACAATTCCAATGTATTACCGTTACAGTAGAGCTATCAATACCATTAATATTTCCTCTATTATGAAAAAATCAATAGTAAAAATGTGTAATAATTACAATAAGCAAAATAAAATGGAGGCAGGGAAAAGTGGGAGCAGAGGAAGAATAACTGACGCTATGGAGAAGAGAAAAACTAAATGCGCAAGGGCCTCTGCATCAGTTTGTCAAATTTTCCTGAATGGGTCTGGACAGGTGAGGAGCCTGTGGTGAGGCAGAGAGAAGGACAGAAGAAGTGGGTGGAGGTAAAGAAGGGTGGATACTGTTGTGGGGCAGAATGAGGCTTGTAGCGAATGAAAAGGAGACGGTAGGGTAAAGAGAGGTGAGGCTCAGAGGTAAACAGGGTTTTAACGGACTAACAAGATTGTCGGCAAAGTCATCCTAAACCTCCAAACACAGAAATCTCAACAAGTGGATGTGACATGTAGCTGTTAAATCCGGACGGGACGAGATGGGATTGAGTGGGAAAACTCTCAAAAAATAAATAAACCTGAAATAATGTCTAACTTTACGGGTGTTAATATAAGTTTCCTGCCGCGTGTGACTGCTGGACATCTTGCTGGTAAAGGAGATGATAGATGGGAGACCAGAGGAAATAAAATGCAAATGAGTTGATTAATGGGCATCATCAGACAATAGAGAATTGCAATATTGGCCTCGGCTGAGATGGGCATTGGCAAAAAGAGATGAATGTAGTATCAATGGGGACCTAAAGCTAAAAGACAAAGCACTGCTACTAATAATTGTTGACAAAATATCAAGTTTAAAAAAGGCACAACTAGGACATATTTTAGAATATTTCTCTCCCAGTTCTCACCAACAGGTCAGACTTTCTGATAACGTGAGGGAGGTCTTTCTGCTGGTTGTCTGGGACCCAGAAAAAGACTTAAAACAAACAAACAATGAGGAAGGGCAAGCCAAGAGAGCGAAACAGAAAGGATTTACTGTATCACCAATACATGTTAACAGCTGTATCAGTTGGTCTCAGTTCAGAGAGGGGAAGGATTCCGACAGCTGGTGTGTGTGTGTGTGTGTGTGTGTGTGTGTGTGTGTGTGTGTGTGTGTGTGTGTGAGAAACAGGGGGAACTGGGTGTGGAGCTTTGACCAAGGGCACAGGACAGAAAGAAGCGAGTGTGGTGGCTGGAAATTCCCCAGACTCTTTCTGCCTGTAAAACAAAAGGAAAAAATATCCAAAATCTGTTGGTTTTTTTTTTTTGGGGGGGGGGGATAGTAACTAGAAACATTAACAAACATTGTGGTTTATTGTTGACTGTTGGTTAAAATTTCTAACCAGCATTTATTCTAAACGTGGCAGCAAGACAAAGAGCAAGCAAATAAGAAAAATATATTCCTTTGTCCACACTTAAACACCATCTTTTAGAATTAAAGTCAGTTATTAGAATTAAAGTCAGTCATTCTTTAAAGTCAGTCATTATCATTGTACATTTTGGTTGGTTTCACTTGTTTGTCATGTTATTACATGAAGTTATGTGAGCATAGCTGGAACGCACTTGTTTTGTTTTGCTTGTTTTAAATATATATGTTGTCTGATGAAGTCTGATATATGAAAGTTGTGAAGGAATTTAAAAAAATTAATTCTATTCACTTATTTATGACTCTGCAGACAAAAGGGTATTTAGCAGGTAAAACATCCCAGCAACGCCATAGCAACTGACACCTCCAAATACAACCATCAGTTAATGACTACACCTCATCTAAAAGCTGATCCACATGTTCATCAGTTTGGGCGTTTGTTTACACCAAGTGTCATAAAAAATAACAGAAGACAACAAGATAATAACAGAATAAAGGGTAAATAATATAAATGATCAATAACATGCTATATATTTTATTTGTTACATTTTTTTTTTTTTTTTCAATATAAATTGTATCACTTGCAACGACAAACCAATCAAAAACAAGAGGGACCGTCATCACCACACCATGTTATAAAAAAAAAGAGGCAACCTAGATCTGGGGTTGTAAACAGTGTTTTATAATGAATACAACACAGACGACGGGACTGACAAAATAAACAGACGGCAGGGGTGGAGGAGGGAGGGGTGTAGAGAAAGTATGCTGAACTACTCAGCAACAGCCACTCAAGTCGTGACGTGTTCACGGTGCTTCCTGCAGCGCTTTAACCCGGGTCCTAGAGACAGTATTTGAGCTTTCTATTCGCTGCTTGGCGCTGTTGCTATGGGGCTGTGCATGTTGAGCCGTGCACGTTGCACCGTGCATGGAAAACAGTTTGTGTGTGCTGAGTTTGGGATTAGGGCAGAGAAAGTGTCAGGAGCGGGTGAAGAGCCCGCATCAAGAGTGCAACATGATGAAACGTGGTTTTATTTCAGTGCCACTTGTGTTGTTTGTTGTTGTCGTTGTTGTTGTTGTCGTCGCTGTTGTTTATCTTATTGATGGCCTTTGTCCAACACTGTAACATCATGGAATAATATTGTATGGCTCCTTGTGTGTCTGGGATGATGACCTTGATGAACTTTCTGGTTTCAATCTCATATTAAATATATTTACCTTTTTTATTTATATAAAAAGAGTTTTATTGTATGTATGGCGCTTCATGTAAGTTTATTTCGACTTTATTCATTCTGTGGTGTCACAATGCTATAATGTTCGTGTGAATATTGAATTTATACTGACAATATCATCTCTCATAGGATATTTATATCCTTAAATATGACATTAAAGGGACTAGAGTGAGTCTGTAAACTTCCTTTATGGTAATAAACTACATTTCCAATAAGGACCAATCTTTTAAAATCGCTATGTATATACAACAGTCACTAAGACACGTTATTGTGTACCTTTTAAATGGTGAAAACATTGTTACAGTATTATCAATCGTAGACTATTTATATGGGCAAATGTGGCACCATAGGGACTAAAGTTTGCCTTTAAGTGGGGATTATGCTATGGTAAAACAAACATTTCCATGGAGACGTTTCTGTTATAAACACCATATTGCACAGCGTGTCTGTGATGCTCAATGGTGTCTTTCAGCGTTTCTATCAGCAATAATTTATCATGACATGCCTCTGATTTTATTGCGCTGGTGTGATATGTCTGCCTATATTATTCTAATAAAATTCAACCTTGTATTATAGTGATTTATAAAAACAATAAAAAATAAAAAGACAGAGAAAAAAAGAGGCTAATAAATCAGTAATAATAGATCAAATAAAAACGATAACACACTCATCAGAGATAATAACAGGTAATAAAAGTTTGTATCACGGACTAATGAAGAATTCCATCACTAACAACAGCTGAAGAATATAACCGGACAGTGAACATAGGGGTGGGGGTGGTGGTGGGTTGGGGGGGGGGCACTCTGCTGTTGAATCACACCCAGCAGCGCTAGCTCGCGCCACAGACGCTCCACCGGCCGGGCGTGTTTTCATATCTCGCGGAGCTGCAACAGAGCGCGCGGTATGAAATGAATGAGAATATGACACCGCTGTACATGTGTTTCTCTACGTCGAGTCCGTGGCTTATTACAAATACCTGAACAATAAAACACATGTGTCGTTCAGATTCAGAAGCACTTTGGTCCCGTAGAGAAGTGTCGAAGATGGGTTATTTGTTATTTTTTACCCCCCCCCCCTCGTGGATGAAGTGAAGGGGGTGTGTTAATGTAATGTCAGTGTCACCGACAAACTTGAAACAAGCACCTGCAATCAAAAGTCAGGCGAAAACAAGCGGATGTTTATTTTAATGAATAAAAACAGCACCAAGTTAGGGTTTATTTTGGTTTTTTTTTTTTTTTTTTACTACAATGTATCAATTTATAAAAAAATAAATAAAAAAAACATCGATTCAGCTTTTGTGTTCCGGAAACAAACAATTCTTCGACATTAGATATCCATGCATATATGTATATTTTTAGATTTTAGTTAGAGCCAACACTGTTTAATAAAACATGTTCTGATTCTGCTGGTGTTATCCCCAGCTAGAAATTGGTTGCCAAGCATTGCATCATTCCTTTCATGTGACTCCCATACGCCCCAAATTCGTCCTGGCCGTCTTATGACTGCATCACAATTGCTGCTCGTACAAACTATACAGGCAGGAGAGAGAACAACCAGACAAGACGACCCTAAGTCCAGCCCTCGGAGCCGATTTCGAGCCACCCTATTGGATGTCGCCAAGGAAAAGATCTTAACTGCGCGCTCGCCGTTGGGTCGTTGCAACGTCGGTCCTCGTCGTTCACGCTCGGTTGTGATGAATCTGCCTTCCCATGCATAGTTCGGTTGAGCTCTCCCTCAATATAAACACCGCCGGGAGTTTCCGAAAAATCACATTCAGGCGTCAAGACTGAACAATGGTTAACATGAGCTATCACCAATTTTTACTAAAATATCCACATTCGAGTTCAAGACAGTCGAGAAGGCGAGCGAATAAAAGAAAAAGGGTAAGTGGAGACTCTTTGTCATTAGTTTTGGTCGGGGTTTATTTTCCTCCAGTCTTTCGGGGAGTAATGGCTACTTAACGCACTCTTTAAGTGGTCTGGTGTGCTGGGAAGAAGAAAAAAAATGCATGTTTTTGGCAGATATCCCGGTGCCATTTATAGAAGAACAGTTGTCTTGATCCATCACAGTTTACATCGAGTTGTTTTTGTGTGTTGTCCGTGTCGTCTGACAAGTTGTCAAGCTCATACAGACTTAAAAGTTTTGAGGTTTTGACTCTTGAGCGTTCCTGATGTTTACAATTATTTGTGAATTTTGTGCCTACCACAAGTAATACTTTAGATTTAAAAAAAAAATTTTTTTTGAAGGTGTCAAATTTAATTGGATCAAAATAACAGACATGAGCCTACTCCGTGTGACGTCTGGCAGTAATTGGTGGGGCTGTTGAGTCGAAACTGGACGGCTTTTATTTTTGACAGCTGTATTTGTTTCTGACACTTTGGACTAATCCGTTTAAAGTAAATGTTTAACACTGAATGAATGGGTGTTTATATTGTTTTTGGGTTGTTGTTTTTCTCTCTCTCCTCCAACCCACTCTTTTCCCTCTGTCTGTACGTTGCCTTTTGTTTCGCCCATTCCTCCTGCTGGACCTTCATTTCCATGACGTAATTGTCTTGGCTCACAGTGGACATGAAGCCCTAAACTAAAATATAAAATATTTTGGATTTTTAAAATGTTCAATAATTGTGTAGGAAAAATAATGATAGGTACCAAACCAAAGTTTTAATCTCGGTATGGTCGCGCTATCACAGGAAGTTTAACATTTGACAGAAGGTTAGAGGTTTTATTTCTATTTATTATTCTTTATCACTTTTTAATTTAGTGATTCACATCCAAACGCTACATTTATAATGTTTTCATTTATTTCTATTTGCACATCAACTCGGAAAGGCATAAATCTTTAATTATAAGGAATGTGTCAGCTACAAGCTTTGTCTACAATGATCATAGTAATCATGGTGGCTTTTGTTGAGTAATTTGTCATTTGGACAGATTCAAACAATTATAACAACAACATAGCAGAGCTGACTGTCAGACCCGGAGAGATCAATATATAAGGATTTACTCGTCGTTTTTAACCACTTGTTTATCGATCCCAGCGTGTTTTGAGGACCGTAGAAAGCAGGGGGCGCAGTAGAGAACATTTTGGTCTTTGTTTACAAGAATTAAGTGACAGGATATTTTTTTTCTCTCTCTCCATCTTTTGTTGATTTGTTTTATCATCATTACATTTTTTCACAATTTCCCACAGCTATCATACATGTTTAATTTAAAGCACCCGTTGTTGCCTTGCTCTCTATTTGTGCAAATCATCATTTTGATTCTGAAATCTCAGCACATTTCCAACCTCAGAAGAAATATTTTAAGACTAATCTATCAAATACTCCTTTTTTTTTTCTTTCAGAATTGTTGGGACAAGCTATCTCCAACAAATTGGCAGACTTGATTAACAGAGACTTTCAAAAGGTAAATTGGTCTTCTCATATTTGACATTCTAAATGCTGCATGTTTGTGACGTTCAGATTTTCATCAATCAATTTTTAGTCAATTTGTCCATTTTAATATAAATGTTGAGTTATCAACATATATATATATATATATAATATATATATATATATATATATATAGATAGAATCTTCACATTCCTCTAATCAGCATTTTTAGTGCAGTACAGTAATTTCCTCACTTAGTGTCACTGTTATTCCATTTCACAATTAAGTGGATATAATATAGAGATTTCTACTTTGGTCTAGTTTTCTTTATCATGGCGTAAGTAATTATACAGATAAACTATTCATGCAGTATTCTCACTAATGATACGCGCCGTCCTTTATCTCTGCATACCTATGAACACTTGCAGAACGGTAGAGAGTTTTTGTGACGTGTCAGTCATCTAACGTGCGGCTGCTCGCCCCTCCCCATCAGGTCCAGTGTGAACCGTGTGGCCGAGTATCTGTGTGTTGCGACTGACTGGCGAGATGACTGCCGAGTGGCTACACCTGCCCCCGCCGTACCCCCCTGGTGTGGGGCCGTTGTGTGGTGCAGAGTTGGAGGCGTGGTATGAGGACCTGCAGGATATTCTGGGCTCCGACACGGGAGGGGCAAAACTGGCACGTGCCCCCACATGCACCGAGGTCAGTTGCTTGAAGAATGAAATGGCTATCACACCCATGATGAGTGTGAGTGTTTTCGTTGGTCGTATTTTCGTTAATAGTTCTCGTTTTTTAATTTTTTTTAGTTTTCTGTGAAAAAATGTCATTCACATAATAAGCGATGTGAAATGTACTTATACTGTGATATTTTACATGTTTTGGCAGGTGTTGATATTTCCGTTTTGTGCTTATAGAAGGAGCCGGAGTTTCTGGATGTTCTGGAGAGTTGTTCTCTGACGTGGCTGACTGATGGAAGCCAGACGTGGGGCGAGGGTGTCCAGAAGGCAACGGAGGAGATCCACAACACCCAGCCTCTGCATCACACCTCATCCTCATCCTCTTCTTCCTCCTCTTCTTGCATGAGTCCAGCTGTTGCAGAAGAGCAGCGGGCAGAGGTTGAAAGTGGGAGAAGTGGAGATAGCTCAGCAGGAGGCGGCAGTGATCTGCTGCCTCCAGAGTTCTTTGAGTTGCTGAGTGAAGGCGGAGTGGGAATGGTGGATCCAAGCGGAGCAGTGATCAGCAGTGGCTATTATTACCACCACCATCAACACCATCAGGCTAATAACGTCCATCCTGCCTCTCCCTCTGCCAGTGAGGAGGAACTGCCCTGTGTCCCAGATTCTCCATCTTCCTCGTCCTCAGCCTCCCAGTCGCCATCCCAAAATTGTTCTTCTCCCTCCTCACCCGTCTCTTCTCCCTCTGCCTACTTGTCCTCCCGCCTGGGAAAACGCAAGAGGACCACCAGCGAGAGGGCCAACGGTGCCTTGTCCTCTTTCGCCTCCTCCACGCAACGAACATCCTCATCCTACACGTCTGCCAAAAAGAGTCGCAAAGAAAGAGAGCAGGAGAACGAGAGGAAGGTACAGGAGCTGACGGAGCAGAACGAGCGCTTGAAAGCAGAGATAGAAAGGCTGGGAGAGGAGGTACAGAGGACACGTAGAGCCCTGATAGAGAGACTAGTCAACACCAGGAAATGAGTAAAAAAAAAAAATTAAAGACAGGAATAAATGATGACAGGTCCTACAGAATTGGAATAAGCAATGGTGGGGGGAAAGGTGTAATATGGTGGTCATGAAATGCCTCTTAAGACAGGAAAGGATGGAAACCAAAGATATATTTTATAAGCAAGAGGATTTTTGAAAAAGACAGAGCTTAAGAAGGCAAGAAGTAGGAAAGTGATGAAAGCCAAGACAAGAAAAGGCACAGAGAGAAGGGGCTGCAACAGCATTGCGGCAAATAAAAAAGACACAGCATGTACAAAGGAAAAGGAAGAACAGACAGCTCTAAGTGCAAATGATACAATGTTTTTGACGAATGTTTGTCATTTTAAAGAATGCCTAATAAGTTCCATCAAATAGGATGGCAGAAATAATGGTTTACAGGCATTTGATGATTTGTATGTTGGACAGAAAGGAACTTAATTCAGAGAGTGCATTTCATTATCATCTGTTCCCACCATTTTGCAATAATTGTAACTCCTACGTTAAGGGCTGCAATCCCGCAAGAAGAGATTATTTGCCCCAATTTGTGGAGAGTTTAGGAGCTCAGGAAAAGTTTGAAAGTGCCCAGTGCAGTGTGAGTATGAGAGAATGAGTTTTATGGGAGAGAATTCTTATGGTTTCTTACTTTTTTACAACCCATGGCTTGTGTGTATGTGTATTTAGATAAAGTAAGTAGGACCCGGCTATACTTTCTAAGCTGACCTTTTCTATCAATATGGGAATTTGTGGTAGAATTAACACAATTTGTTCTACCCTGATTTACTATTTTTATATAACACTGTAATATATATATACACACAATTGTACTGTAATGGCTTGTACTGTAAAATGCCAACATATCCAGTTATTTTCTCATTGTAGTCACATAAATTGTTAATCGTAGAATAATATGCATGGCTTTTATCATTGATGGAATCAAATACATGTATTTTACCATACCATTTATTTTATCCGCCATTGTAATCCCAGATTTGCAATAAAAGAAAAAAATGTGCAATGGTTTGTGTCATGTTACATTTATTGGTTTTCCTCTTTAATGACCTGAGTATGAATGATTTCTTTTTCTTTTTTTTTGTAGAAAATAGTGTAACCCAGAGGTAACTGAGAAAGGGGGAGGAGAGGAGTACAGGCAAATTTTTAGCTTAACTTAATCAATTAATTTTCTGAATCCAAAAAAGGTTATTTGTAGCAAATGGCAAAAAACAATTTTCCAGAGGATATAAAAACATCTTAAAATGCGCAACACACCTTCCAACACTAATATCGTATGCTGACTTTATCACAGGGAGAGTATAAAATCAGTTTCTTTTGGTGTAGGGATTTGGAAAAATCCCTCCTTTCTGTAGCTGTATTCATTTGACTCTCTCTTTGTGTGTTTTCGTTTCCCCGTCGGCCTATCCAGCATTTCATTAGTCCTCAGTGCCAATACCACATTGTCTTAGATCCTGTCACGGCTTTGCCTTAAGCTAATACCCTCATCTCTCTCTTAGTGTACATCTTGTTCCCATTCTCCACTATCATACCTCAAACCATCCTACTCTTCTCTTCCGCTGACTAACCTCCATCATTTTTGCTTTTTCTTTTGTCTCACTTCTTCTTGCCCTTCTGAGGTGCAGGCTCAGGGCTCTTCCCCTCAGCCAGAGCCAGCTGTTTCTTAAGGTCCAACAGTTTGGTCACCTCCGCTGTGATCACGGCCTTCTCTGCCTTCTGGGCCTTGAGTGCTCGCACTTTTTCTCCCTATGATAGATAAAATGGCGGGTTTTAATAGATTTCCCACATGTACATTTGTCTTTAATTAAACACTTCAGCTTATATGGACAAATAAAGGTTTTCAGCTTTCTTATCAAACTTTGTGCAATTAACTAAGGCGGCAGTTTGTGAGTTTGTAATCATACGCGTCGGTCTGAGTTTGGAAACACTGACAATAAAGAAATGTAACCGGCGCATTTATAGTAATAGCGCAAAATAAAAAAATCAAATTTACAGATAAAACAATTTTGATGAATTCATTTTCCAAATACAGATACTCAATACATCTAGCTTTTAAAATGAGCTGTTATTTATTTCAGCGGCTTGTAGTTTTTTTGCTTGCGTGAATAGATTTTTGGAGAGTTCGTTTTCACTCCTTACGGAAGAAGACATTCGTTTCGTTATTCCTGTTATAAGAAAATCTAAAAGACAAAACAATGCAATTAAAATGATCTTTCTGAAAACTATTCCAATCTATCTATTCCAATAACAGATTACAGATCCCAAAATGTCTACAAATGTAAGAATTAGTTTCATATTTGATAGCTCAACAGTGCCTTGCCGCTAGCCAGCGATCTCACCTGCTCAGTCACAGCCAGTGTGAGCTGCTTGGCTTTTTCTGGGTCCACTCCGTTCACCATCGCCACCTCAGCAAGAGGAGCTGGCACAGCAGCAGGCTGAGTGCTGGCAGCTGTCTGAGCTGTCTTCTGAGGGAGAAAACAAATAGATATAGATGTTTGAATTTGAGGCGCTTTGATGGTTATTATTTCGAGAGCTGACTTACTTCATTTCAGACATTAACACTCGTCACTCAAAATGTTAACGGGATAATAATGAGTCATGACGTGTGAATGGACAGTGAATCACACTGGACACACGGGGATGAGTAACAATTAAAAATCTGAGGACGTAAGATAAGGTGGTAGTGTTAGTGAAGGCATGCAGTAATCAAAATTGACACAGCAGCACCAGTGTGACTCTTCACACACAAATACCGCTGGCTCGATACCTTTTTTTTAGGTGGTTCATCTTCAGGCTAGAGGCAGGCGGTTGAGGAGAGGGTTTAGAGAGGGATTATTTAATCTATATAATGGATGCTTAATACATAACTTGTATAACATTCATGGTGTGTTTGCTCTGCATTATGTCTCAAAAAACAGAAAAATCTTAAATACAAATTCTAATTCACGACGACAGTCTGACAGAGGCCCGTGAACAACTGAGCACTGTCAATTCTTTCTTATTTCATTATTCATAAATAGTCAACCTATATTACTACAAGACCTGACTGAACTCATGCACAGACCATTAGGCATCATAAACATCAAATACCTGCTGTCCACCAAATTTCTTCTTCAAAGCCTCAATCTGGTCCACCTCCAGTTTCTGGAACAACGGACTGACCTGGGAAGAAAACAGGTTGACAGAAGGAACAAAAGGTAGAAATTCAAAAAATATATGCACGAATATTTAAAAAGTTTGCGATTGTGGATCCAGCCCAAGGCCAGCGTAGCTGGAAAATTTAACCTTAAGGCTCTGTGCTTGTCTTTGAACAAAGAGGATTATGCAAGTAAGTAAGTAGATAACTATGTATGAGAAATTTGCAGGGATTCAATTAGGATCACCACTCTTCAATGCAGCATTACACTTATGACAAAAGGTGTAATTCGTCATAGAAGTTGTATGCACATGAGTTTCGTGTATGGCGCATTAGTAAGATGTTAGAATTGTGTCATCTGCTGCTCCTCGCCTTGAGACCTCAGTCACGAATCATGATAGCTTTAGAGATCGGATGCATTGTTGGCAGGCTGCTGCAGACACAGGTCACCACAATTAGGCCTGCAGGGACAAGTGGCCTGAGAGAAACTTGCTGTTCGAAAGGCTGAGGCCTCAAAACACCGTCTAGGCTATTATTCTTAAGCATGTGTGTATGTGCGTGTTCACACGACTACAATGTCCCCCAGAGTACTGAAATATTGTCAGACTGTTGCATCCTCATTGTATCACCCAGCATCAACCTACAGGAGGTTCCACAGGTTTTTGTGTCTTAACATGTACGAACTGTTTGTGTGTGTGTGTGTGTGTGTGTGTGTGTACTATTTCAGGTCTTACTCACAGTGCCCACGCGGTGGCCGGCACTCAGGGCACACACGAAGGTGCCAGTGCCTTGCAACATGGCATTGATGCAAGACTGAGGAGCGTTAAGTTGATCCCTGATGGTTTGGCTGACCGTTGGCATGTATGGAAACAGCATCACTGACAGCAAGCAGGCGATATTCACAGACAGACCGGTCACTGTGCCCGCACGCTGCCTGAAGGGGAGGACCAGAGATCAGTCAGACAGATCATTAATTAAATGCTTAAATTACATCTTTATTACTGCACCTCTAGTTGGCTGTACATAATATTTTTTCTTTCTTCTATGACTTTATTTTATGAATTCAATCTTTCGCACTTTTATAGTCTCTGTTTCTAATATAAAATGAGAATTTGAAACTACACAGGTAAAGCCTGTGTTAAACTGGTCAAGACCACTCACCTCTCTGTGTCTCCTCCCTTGATCTTCTTCCAGGGTTCATTGACCTGAATGTACTGGTTGCCATGGCGAGAGATGTTGAGGATGTGTTTTAGAGCATCACGGATTCTGGTGGAACATTTGAGAGAAAGATTGAGGATTACAGAACAAAGTTGATCTAAATTGAAGCAAGTTGTGCGACCACTAACCATTTTACATCTTCTTAAGATGTGTCGAGATACTTCTCAAGATGACAAATCTACCAATCAAATAGTAGTAATGTAAAACTAAATTGACAATTTCCATATTTTCAAATTAAACTTACTTAAAACTAAACTAATTAAAGATAAGCAGAAGTGTACTTCTAAACAGTCATTTCAATTAAATTGATAATTCTCTGTCTAAAAACATCAACCTATTGATGGGTATGTGATCCAATAATCTTACTTGACTTTGTCCATGAGCTGGATGTACTGCTGCAGCTCCCAGCCCACCAGAGCCAGGAGCTTCTTATCTTCCTGTTGTAGCTCGATCGCAGGCACACAGCCCTCAAAGAACTTAGTGACAAACATGCCAGCTCTGGAGAAGATAGGGAGAGGGGGGTTTAACAAGACAGATGAAAAAAAAAAAGAGGGTCAGGGAAAAATGTGGGAATGGAAAGAAAAACTCGGCAAAAGAAACCAGGGAGGGAGAGAGAGAAAGAGAGAGGGAGAGAGAGAGAGAGAAAAAACAAAATGAGAGAAGGGCATGTTACTTGACTTGCTAATTGTTTATAAATTATAGATTTTGTTGCCAGATGTAATACAGTGCTCTGCTGGTGTAAACTAACAGTGTGCTGCATTTAGCATCTTCACAGCTCCTTCATTGCCTCGATATTGTTGCTGGAGTCAGTCATTTTTTAAATTAGTTTTATGTGTACATCAGGGGATGTTCATAGTGAGAAGGTTTTTTGTCATGTCTGATGCAACAGACCGTTCTATATTTTACACATTTCTTAGCCCCTGAGGAAGGTCTGACAAACCAAAATGCTTTGACATGACTGTCAAATTTACAGTGAACTGTGATCCTGATGTGTGAGCATGAACTTTGTGTGACCTGTATTCTTAATTTGTTTTAGTCTTTTGAATAGTGTAACTGCCAAGCCCTGAGGTTTTTATTCATCCTGGGAAAATAAAGAGCAATTTTCTTACTATAAAAAAAATTATTGAATCATCCTAATCAATAAAGTATTATTTGCTGCTGGTAAATATAAAGTAGGGATTTATCCATTTTGGTTTGTCAAGCTGATTATTTGTGAATTCTCAACAGTCAATGTTTCAGCTGAACAGCAATTAGCTGGAACACCACACCCCAGAACCGCTGATGAATTAAAAAGTGGCATAAGATGGACACCCTGTCGCTAATGATGTAGTGATTCAGTAACTGGATCCAGGCAAGGACAGAATTTCTTTTCTGAAGCAGAATATTTTCTACCTCCAACACCTTAGGCTGAATGCAATCTACAAGATATTTTTGAACCAATTAAGCATCAACGTTGCTGCCCGAGACCAATTTTGAAGATCAAGGTACTTTGAAAAAAAGCTACTGAGAAAAATCTTTGATGTGGGATTTAACCCTGATCTTTTAAAAATCATTTGAGGCAATGTAATTGGGGCTAAATTACACCATCCCAAACAAATTTAGAAAACTAGGGTGAGCCTCTTATAATAGTTACTGCTCTAACAGACTTTTTT